TATTCTTACACCATATTTTTAATTTTAGGACTCGATCTCAAGGAAATTCTTAAAAAGTATGTACAATATGTTATGCACAAAAAGATCCATCCCTTGGGACACCTGGGTAGCTCAGCGGTTGAGCGTCTGCCTTCGGCTCAGGGTGTGATCCCGGGGTCCTGGGATGGAGTCCCATATCGGAATCCCTGCATGGAGCCTGCTTCTCCCTCTGCCTGTGTCTCTGCCTCTCTCTGTGTCTCTCATGAATAAATAAATAAAATCTTTAAAAAACAATCTCTTTTAAAAAAATCCATCCCCATGCTATCTATTATATTTAAAAATTAGAAAATATTACATGCATAATGTTAGAGGATACCAGTTCATTAAAGTACAGTCCATGACATGAATATAACATAGCTTTTAGAAATTACAATGTGAGTATGTATTGAGTAGTTATCTAAGTATTTTGCATTTGCTCACTGAATTCTCACTATAAGGATACTATATATATATCCTCCTTTGGCCCTTCCAGTGCACCCACCACTCTTCTCTAGCTTCTAACTGGTAAGGGCTGCATCAACAGGATCCCTTGCCTTCAAGCTTCTGGTTGGAATAGGTCAATGGAGAGGTGGGGAGCAGGCAAGGAAGTTTGGGTATTATTTGTTCTGGCTCCCTCTCTGGGAGTTTCCTGTGGGCTGAAAGCCTCCTTGAACTAAATGCTGAGACTTGTATCAGGCAGCCCCTACCAAACACCACTGTCACCAAGTTCTGATAACTGCTCTCTCCCTTTACCTCTTCACAGTCATGCCTTCTTGCTGTCACCAGCCTGGAGGTACTGCATGATTCCTTGTGCTTTCTCTTCATCTTGCCCACATCTCTTAAAAAATTTCCTTTATGATAATGTCTTCAAATGATCTAATTAGTTTGCTGTTTCCTAGTGGAACCCTGACAGATACAATGTCTTGGGAGATTCTGTATTTGAGGAGACAGGCACAGAGAAGTTAAGTAATTTGCCCAAGGTCACACAAGGGAGGAAATAATAATTGTAGGGCATGTCGAAATTGTTCCTTTATCTATTTGAAAATAACTTTCATTGTTTTTAATACAAAAGATATACAAAATACACAATACAAACAAATAAAATGAAGAGAGGAAAATACCCGTATTTCCACTCATCTAACCCATCCATTATTTATTTAATAAGACTCCCACATTTTTTTGGCCAGCCAAACTCCTACTTCTGATCTTGGGCTTTATGTTCAATTGTCTCCTCTATAAACTTCATCTGTATGTATCAAAGGCACATGAAACTGAATATGTCCAAAAATAGGCTCATGACCTTCCAAAGTCTAGCCACAACCAAGTTCTGTCAATTTTACATGTAAATGTCTCTCATGTGTCCACAGCTCTCCAGCTGCCACCACCTACCTTAGTCTAAGGCACCATTGCCTTCTTTCTTTGAAGAATTCCAAGCTTTGGTCTCCCTATACCTATCTACTCCTGTGTCCTTCAACCCATTATTTATGCAGCAGGCAGACAGAAGTTTTCAAAACGCAATCTAGTTGTATTGACCCTTGCTTAAAATCTTGCAGTGGCTCCCACTGCTTCAGAATACAGACCAAGAGTTTTCCTTTGGCTCAGCTAACCTCAGCAGTTTTGCCTCCCATGCTCCTTTCCTTCTCTTGCTTAACTCCACTGTCTCTGGCTTTCACCTTCGCCAAGGAACCATCCTTCTCTCTAACACAGGGCCTTTGCCTACATTGTTCCCTCTTTCTGGGACATTTTTACACACCTTCTCAAAGTTAACCTCCGGAGTGGTCAAAACACCGAAACACTTTCTTATCACTAGGAACTTTTCCAACCTAACATTTTTCAGAGCTTACTCGAACACCTCAAGAATGTGGTTGCCAATCTCCTTTACTAGCTCCTCTAGCAGACCATACAATGAAGGTCTTTGGCTGTCTTGTGTTGCCTGCACATCCCTAGTACTTTGCTGTGTGCCCAACACATAATATGAAATCAAATATTTGAATGAAAAGAAATAAATGCAACAGAGATAAGGAAAAGTTGGAGGAATCATATTAGAAAGGTCTGACTTCTTTATATCTATTATTTCCTCTTTCTTTGCTTCAAAGTCTTACAAGATAAAAATGATACTGATTTAGTCATAAGTCTCAACTACTTTTCTAGAAAGTAAAAGTTACTAAAACTGGATAAAGAAGGGTACTTGTGTAGTTCAGTGGGCTAAGCATCTGCCTTCAGTTCAGGGCAAGATCTCAGGGTCCTGGGATAGAGCCTGCCTGGGCTCCCTGCTCAGTGGGGGAGCCTGCTTCTCCCTTTCCCTCTGCACCCCTCCCCACAAGCTCTCTCTCAAATAAATGATTCAAAAAACTTTAAAACTTAATAAAGAAAATACTATATTCCCTTAGTTTCTTTTTTTTAAGATTTTATTTATTTATTCAGGAAAGACACAGAGAGGCAGATACAGAGGCAGAGGGAGGAGAGCAGGCTCCGTGCAACCCTTATAGTTTCAACAAGATTGTTTGATACAGAATGGGGGGGGGGTGCCGGGAGAAATCTTTATAGGTGGGCATGGGTTCTTTTATTTCTTTATTTATTTGAGAGAGAGAGAATACAAACAGGGAGGAGGGGCAGAGGGCCAGGGAGCAGCAGACCACCGCCCACCCCCCAACAGAGAGCGCTGAGAAAGGGGAACAATGTGGCTAGACCCCAGGAGCCAGCAAACATGACATTAGCCGGAGGCAGACACTTAACTGAGCTGCTCAGGTGGCACAGATTCTAGTTAACTTCCTGCAGGTGTCATCACTTACTCTAGATGTTATAATTATATCTATTTTGAGGGCTCTAGTGATGACAAAAACAGCTCTAGGAAGACAAAGTGGAAACGTAAAGGGATAAAGCTAGAAAAGGCTGGTTACACAGTAAGATATGTACGCTAAATATCTCCCTTTTTGGTAGGGTGGGGAAACACGGTTTTTTTTGTTTGTTTCTGTGCCTTCACCTTCACTTTTCAAGTGCAGGTCCCACTTAATCCGTGATAACTGAGAAGTTTTTTCGTCTTCTTCTTTTTTGTTTTTAAGATTTTATTTGAGAGAGAGAGCACGAACGGGGAGAGACAGAAGGCGGGAGAAGCCGACTGAGCACGGACCTGACGAGGGGAGCTGGGTCCCAAGCCCTGAGGATCCTGAACAGAGCCCAAGGCAGAAGCTTAACCCACTGAGGGACCCAGGAGCCCCTAATATCTGAGCTCTTGATTTTCTCGCCTACTTGCTTCGTTTGGGTCAAGCACCTCAGCTCGGACAACCCCACAGAGGATCAATAATGGCCAAGTAGGCCCCAAGTGGCGGTCCCCACTTCACCCCGCCCTCTCCCCAGGGAGGGGGTCCGCGGCTGCGCAGACCTCTCCCGGCCCCTCGTGACGTCACAAAGGAGCCTACCGTTGTGTGGCGTGGCCCTGTGACCCTGCCGGCCCGGTCCCTTCAATACCCGCTTCCTAGGCCACCTGGCTCAGTCCTCTGTTAGTTAAGGCATGGGCACGAAAGCCCTGGGCTGAAACCCCCACGCGGCCGCCACTCTGGGTAGGCGAAGTAGGCGGAGCCAGGCTGCGGTCAACCGGGGCTCCCGGGGGCGGTTGGGAGCGCGCTGGGCCCCGACCCGGTGAGGCTGGCGAGGCGCGCGCCGCTGGGGGAGGGGCGGACGTAGGACGTCACCTGATGCCCCCCGCGCTGGAGAACTATGAGCTCACACAGCTCGGCCCCCGCCCCAGGCAGTGGCCGCGGGAAGGGCGGCGAGGCGGAGCTTGCCCCTGGAGCAGGGGGCACAGCTTCCCGGATCTCGGACCCGCACTCCAACTTGGGCGCGGCCACGTTCTCCGCGTCCGGGTCCAGCATCCATTCAGAGTGGCGCACCTTGTCCAGTCCGTTTTCCAGCTTCCAGTCAAATGCATCCGTTGAGGACTCGGAACACCAGAAGAGCTCCAGCGTGCCGGCCCAACTCGGCTACATTCCCGACCCGAGGACTAACACAGACTCTAAGATCGGCCTTTGGGGCTTTGGCGCCCCACCTGGCCTGAACCACCAGATCTCCATGTCTGCCACCCGCCCGCCCACCGCGGAGGGGGCCGCTCCAGCCTCCAACCCGGACGCCGACCTCCCCGGGGTCCCGGTACAAGGATCTGTCCCACCCTCAGGCTCCCCCCGAGTGTCGACAGCTGACTCCACCCCATCCGCAGGGCTCGAGTACCCCCGAGTATCAGTACCAGGACGTCCTACAACCACCAACTCTTCCGGAGAGTCAGCGCAAGGGTCTGTCCCGCCCACGGTGCCCGACTTCCTCCGGGTATCGATGCCAGCACCACCTCCACCCAGTAACACTTCCCAGTTGTCAGCACACGGGTTCGCCGTGCTCTCAGTGATCGGCTCCCGCCCGAGCTCGGTGCAAGGACCACCTACGCCCAATAACTCCCCCCTAGGGTCATTGCAAGGGTCCCGGCAGTTCTCAGTACCCGGCTCCCCCCGACTATCAGTGCACGGATCGGCCCTGCCCTCGGACTCCTCCCGAGGGTCGATACCAGGGTCCGCCCCGCCCTCAGTGCTCAGCTCCGCCCGGAGTTCGCTGTCAGGATCTGCACCTTCCTCAGAGTACTCCCGAGTGTCGATACAAGGGTCCGCCCCGCCCTCCGTGCCCAGCTCCCCCCGGAGTTCGCTGTCAGGACCTGCACCTTCCTCAGAGTACTCCCAAGTGTGGGTGCAAGGGTCCGCCGAGCCCTCAGAGCTCAGCTCCCTCCAAGGTTCGCCTCAAGGATCGCTCCTGCTCTCAGGCTCCTCCCGAGCGTCGGGAAAAGGGTCCATCCTGCCCTCAATGTCTGGCTTCCCCTGGGATTCGGTACAAAAATATCTTACGCTTCTGAACTCCCAAGTGACACAAGAGTCCACCCAGCCCTCAGTGTCAGGTACCCCCCGAACATCCGTGGAAGGATCGGCTCCGCCCCCGGGCTCCCCTGGAGAAGCAGTACCAGGGACCGCCCCGCCCTCCGTCCGGGGCTCCGCCAGGGTGTCGACAGAAGAATCAGCTCCGCCCCCGGACTCCCCCCCAGAGTCTGTAGAAGGGTCCGCCCCGCCCTTGGCCGCCTCCACTCCTGTACCTACGCCCAGCGAGAGTCTCTACCAGACCATGGCGAGTAGAGAGAAGACGAGTATCGAGGGCCACATGTTTGACGTAGTCGTGATAGGAGGCGGCATCTCAGGTCAGTGTGGACCGTAGTGGTAACCTGGGGGCCCTGGCCGGCCCGGGGTGGGGAGCTTGCAGTAGCGCCGCGGCATTTGGGGGTCTGTCGTGCGTGCTGGAGTGCAACAGTACCCGGCCCCGGATCCTGCAAGACGACAGTGGGGGGTTGGGCCAGTTTTGCTGGTGTTGGGAACTGGGGGGAGGTAGAACAATAATTTTACTACTACTATTAAATACTAGCATTTAATTAGCTCTCGCTGTGCAGTTATATTCAGTGCTTTATACTTGCGTTTTCTCAGTCCTCTGCAGTCCTGTGAGATGGGTATTATATTTGCTCCCACTTTACAAAACCAAGTAACTGAGGTCTAGAGACTTTCAATAACTTTCCAGAGGTCAAACCACTTATCCAGAAAGTGGCTGAACCGATTTTTTTCCATTTAAGACCTACACTTCTAATCCCTAAGGTGGCTGCTTTGGCTCACTGACTTCGCGTTTCTTTGCCCTAAACAGAACATCAGTGTTGGGATTTTTGTAGTGTCGAGGCAGTAATAGTGTTATTCTGGTCCTGCTTTTCTCCAAGCACTTTTCCTTAGAAAATTTGGTAAGTGAAGACGAAGTAAGAATCGTTTAGTAAAAGATTTTTTTTAAAGGGGGGGGGGCTCTCATTTTTAACCCAGGCCTCCTGTGTTTTAGAACTTGCAGGAATGTGTAGGCATTTATTGCCCAAAGCGAATCACTTTTGAAACAGAGGTCCATAGCCCCTCAGAGAATGCCCTGCTGTGTCCTTTCATAAGAGCTCCCTGGGACCAAATCCTGTCCTGTGTGGAGCTGGTGAGCCTGGGTTCTCCTGGCCCCTGTCTTAGGCTTGCAGCTGACCAAGTGTGTGAGGCTTGCCAGTATCTTCCTGGAAACCTTATCAATTATAATTGATATAGTAAATTGTCACTTAGGCTGTCATAACTGCTAAACTTTCAGATTTAGGAATGGTGTTTCAGCCCTAGCCAGAATCCCACATGAATCTGCCCAAGACCTGGGAGGGTGTTAATTTCTGAAATATATCTGCAGGATCTGATTTAGAAAGAGGGAGAAAGAACGTGGAAGGGATGAAGTAGGATGGCCCCACAGTAGCCATTTGTATGTATAATTTGGTGGTGGTGGGACTCTGATAATGCTTAAAAATTAATTTTGAGTGGAGATAGCTTTTGACTTAGTCTTTTGAGGATCAACAGTCTGAATCACCAGAGAAGAGGTTGGCCTGAGCTGTTACTTTGAAACTCCAGCCAGTGCCAGCAAAAACATACATGTATGTCGGAGCATCGGACGAGAGCAGATCCTGGTGGAGAGTAAGAAAAAGAAGTATATTTCTCTTGTTTCCATTCATTCATTCATCCATTCATTCAACAAACACTTGCTGAGTACCTGCAATGAAGATAATTGGTGTTTCCCAAAACCTAATCCTCCCATGCAAGCCTCCTAGAAGGAATGTGATTGTGGATCACTGAGAAATAAATGTTCCCATAGCGTAATATAAATAAATAGATTAGTTCTCTCTCTTCCTCCCATCTCCATACCATCCATACTTCACAATTTGGGGTTCTTTCTGGGATTTTGTCTTTTTCTGTTCTTGTTCTGTGCTCCAGTATTCCTTAAGGAGCGTTTTGTCTTTTATTTTCCCTCTGCCTGATTACCTGCTCTTTCTCCCTTTCCAAACCTTATTCCCAGTGGTTGGTGGTGAGCAGAGATGGATTTACTGTGTAGCTTGCAACCCTTATGCTTTATGGCTTACAGTTGCAGGTGCCTTCTGCTTCTCATTCTGAATAAATAGCTTTATACTGTGTCCTGTATTGGTAATTTTGCATTCTTTTTTCTTAAGGAAGGCACCCAGATTATATTATCTTCAGACCCCTTGAAACCTGGATGTATTATCACTATGAATTATTAATTTATTTGTTTCATTTGGGGAGAAGTAGAAGGCCTTTCTTGCACAGTAGTTCACATATCTGTTCCAGCAGCCAGCTTCCAGTCTATTAGTGACAGTGGATCTTCCTCTAAAATCATCTCTATCACTCAGATTTGAGAGATTTTAACACCAAAACTGACCAAAACATTGCATTTTGGCTATAGTGCTTTCCCAGACAGTTCACGACTAAAATTAAAAGTAGATGCAAGTCTGGCTTAGGATAAACCCTGCACACAAACTGGGTATTTCATGAGCAGGTGAGAGGCATTACTTCTCAAGGGTTCTTGAGGACCAGAAACACATTATCTTTGCATGTGCTCATTAAAGTGCCGTGAGCTACTTAATCCCTATATCAGTTTTAAATGCTTTAGGGTATTTCTTATAACTTTTGTTGCAACTTGCACACCTTACTATACTATCCAAACACTTTTAATATATGGCCAATATCCAACATCTGCAGGGTCATTCCTTTTATATGACAAAGTAGCTCCCAGAAGAGTACAAATTCCAAATAGTATTCCTCAAGATCAATCCATAGTAACAGAAATGTCTTTCATTTTTGATAACTATCTTGGCTGCACAGAAAATGGCATCATCTTAATATACTTCCCTCTTGTCATTAAAAAAACCCATAGAGACGCCTGGGTGGCTCAGCACTTGAGCGTCTCCTTCAGCTCAGGCCGGGATCCTGGTCTGGGGATCGAGTCCGGCATTGGGCTCCCTGCGAGGAGCCTGCTTCTCTCTCTGCCTATGTCTCTGCCTCTTTCTGTGCCTCTCGTGAATAAATAAAATCTTAACCAAAAAAACAAAACAACCCTAAAACCCCTCTAAAACAGGGGCACCTGGGTAGCTCAGGGGGTTATGCATCTGACTCTTAGTTTCGGCTCAGGTCATAATTTCACAGGTCCTGAGATCAAGTCCTGAGTGGGGCATCATCCTCAGTGGGAAGTCTGCTTAAACCTTTCCCTCTGCCCCTCCTCCAATCATGCGCACACCCGTGTTCGCTCTCGATCTCTCTCTCCAAAATAATCTTTAAAAAAAAACCCATAAAACAGAGCCACAAACCCCCCTTTTCTGTTCACTAGTCAATTACATAATTGTATATACTATGTCAGTGGAGAGGGGGAAACCCCCTGCTCATTTTTAAGTAATATAATGATATCTTTAACATGCTCTGGTTCTTAACCTGTCATCCATCATCTATCACCAAGTCCTTCTTGAAACTGCTTTTTTTTTCTTTAAGATTTATTTATTTATTTATTCATTCATTCATTCATTCATTCATTCATTCATGATAGACATAGAGAGAGAGAGGCAGAGAAACAGGAGGAGGGAGAAGCAGACTCCATGCCAGGAGCCCGACGTGGGACTTGATCCCCGGACTCCAGGATCGCGCCCTGGTGGGCCAAAGGCGGGCACTAAACCGCTGAGCCACCCAGGGATCCCCGAAACTGCTTTTTTTTAAAAAAAAATATTTATTTATTCATGAGAGAACAGAGAGGTAGAGTCATAGGCAGAGGACTCGATGCAGGACTCGATCCCAGGACCCCGGGATCACGACCTGAGCCAAAGGCAGACGCTCAACCACTGAGCCACCCAGGTGCCCCTTGAAACTCCTTCCATTCTGTGACAGTTGGATCCTGAATCTTTATTCCACACTGATGGCTCCTTTTCTGTTCCTTTCATTGTGCCCATATTCTTGTGAACTTCGAGGTTTCAAATGGCCTCGAGGTTCAGTTGTTGATCACTGTTGTGCTCTTAGATGCTTTTCCCCCTCTTTTTCTCATTCTGGGACTTCAGATTTCCTTTATCAATAGAAAGCTCTTAAGTTTCGAGTTTGGATCTCAGAGTTTCTTTCTACGAGATGCTGTTCTATAGCTTCTCTGCTCCTGGATATTTCACACTTTAACGTTCTGTTCTTTGTATTCACCATGTCCAAAAGCTTCGTTGCCCTCCAACCCTTTACATCCAGTCAACAGATCCTTGTAATTCCTCGTTTGGGCTCTTTTTCTTCTCCATTCCCAGTGACTCCTCCATCCCCAGGATAGACCCCAGGCCCCTTTGGCTCACCAAGTTATGACCACCTTTCCAGTGGCCTCCCTTTACTTTGGGTTCTCCCTTCATGTCCATCCTGCAGTGTTCTCTAGAGCCGATTTTTTTTTTCAATTTGAGCATAGTTGACACATAATGTTACCTTCGTTTCAGATATACAATGCAGTGATTGGATAAGTCTGTATGTTATTCTGTGCTCACCACAAGGGTAGCTCCCATGTGTCCTGTTATGCTGCTATCACAGTAGTATTGATTATATATTCCATATGCTGTACCTTTCATCCCTGTGGCTTATTCATCCCATAACCAGACTTGATTTTTTTTAAGATTTTATTTATTCATGAGAGACACATAGAGAGAGGCAGAGACACAGGTAGAGGGAGAAGCAGGCTCCTCGCAGGGAGCCTGATACGGAACTTGGTCCCAGGACCCTGGGAACACACCCTGAGCAGAAGGCAGATGCTTAACCACTGAGCTACCCAGGTGCCCCAAGACTTGATTTTTTAAAACACTTATTTCATCACCATCTTCTTCTGCCCAAGACCTTCCTTCACTGGTCTGTTAGCAGCCCCTTGAGCTTCCGTCCATACCCCCAATTATCTAGCCCTACTCTGTTGGACGAGTAGTGTCCCCCACTGCCCCCAGCTGGAGTCACACTGCTGTCTTGTCATTAGTGCCACACCATGTTTATTTTGTCCCTTCACTTCTTCCTTGTTTTCGTCTGTCTTAACATGGGAGTGCTTCTCTCTGACCGTTTGTTTACATTTTATCCATTCTTCAACACATGATTAATGATCTTTTTAAAAAATATTTATTCATTTGGGAGAGAGAGAGCACACATGAGCTGGGGTGGGGAGGTGGAACGTGAAGAGTAGGGAGTGGGACGGAGTGGCAGAGGGAGAGGGAGAAGCAGACTCCCCTCTGAGCAGGGAGCCCAACGTGGGACTCAATCCCAGGACCCCGACACCATGACCTGAGCCGAATGTAGATGCCTTATGATCTGAGCC